ACAGACTGGGTGAACGGGGTGGGATAGGAAGATACAGCAATCTGAGCATCTGTTCCTCAGGACAGGGAAAGGTCTGGGCAGACCAAAGCTGGTGGGGGTGACGTGCCACTGAGGGCTTACATACAAGTCAGCTCGAGCTTGTTTCCTTGAACTCCAGCACTTAGAGCCTTACTTCTGTGCCTAGGCAGGCAGGTGGCTCTATCCCCGTTAGAGATGCTTGGGTCTCATTGCTGGAAAGAGCAGAGGAAAAGCCCAACTGTGATGTTTTTTATTAAGAAGGTGAGAAATGCTGCCAGCATTCAGGGGGGTTCATTGGTGTGCAGAGAGGCTGAACCCCCGTATTGCCGCCGAGACGCCTCTCCCAGCGACAGCGCTCGTGTCGTGGCTCCAGAGCACCAGCCAAGGCTCCAAATTGCATCCAGTGTCTAAACAACTCCATCCAGTGTCTAAATAAAGCTGGGAAAACTGTTCTTAACAGCACTGCCTCCTTTTGCACCTTTATGGGGAAGCACCAAATCCAAATGGGAGAGTTCAGACTTGCTATGGTAGGAAAGCTGTGAGCTGTCAGCCTGGTAAGAATTCAAATCATGGTCCTGACACCAAGCAGTAATAATAGTAAGTAATATTACTGGAAATTGCAGCAGCAAGGGAAGGAGGAAAGATTCTGCTCCTGCCATCAGCATCAGCAAATGATGAAACTCACACCTGATAGCAGATTTTATTGCAGGATTCTGCGTATGACAGAGCTGTATCTGTGAGAAGGCAGAACACAGAGATCATCTGTCTGCTGAGAAGGTGGGTGCACAGAGAAGGTGCCTGATGGGTGCACAGGGATGGAGGCATGCGGCCCCAGCAGTGGCAGCAGTGACATGAAAGGCACAGGGCACAGTGTGCTGAGGCTGAACTGGCCAGAGGGATCTCATATCTCGTATGGTGCCATGTGAGGAGCTGTAAAACACAGGGGCTTTGGCCTGGGGGTGTCCACAGCTCAGGGAGCTGCTGGACATCGCTCATGCGTCACTTGCTTTGTATATATACCCATACAGATTTATGATGGTCGTAACTATTATCCTTCTTCTCCCCTCTTCCTTTTTTCTATTGTATGAAATGTGTTTATCTGTGAAATGAAACAGCTCATGTGCAGCAATGCAGCACTCATGGACCGTCACCATGGGAAGGAAGACCTCAAAGAAATAGCATTGAGCAAGGCAGCCCACAAAAGAGGCGGTCCTGCTATCAACAAGAAGGTCATGGATGAGTCTGGGAGCTCTTACAGCAGAAGAACATGTCTGTAAGCACAAGCAGCTCAGCAAGAAGGATGTGGGAGAATCCAGCTGCTCACGGTCCTCACAGTGATGGCGATGAGCAGGGTTCCACAAACGGTAGAGAAGAGAGGGCAGAATGAGGAGTGTGCTTTTGCCACTGCCTTATCGTGCTTGAGTCCAACGGGGTGAACTCCATCAGCGGGTTTGTTCTCTATAGACACCAAATAAACGGGGCCTGAGGCACAGAAAGGAGCTGCCAGCAGCGGTGTTCGATGCGGGGCGTTATCCCCACACAGACGTATTCATCACCCATATGCTAAATACAAATCATTCTTCACAGAATCACAGAATTGTAGGGGTTGGAAGGGACCTCCAGAGATGATCGAGTCCAACCCCCTGCCAAAGCAGGTTCCCTACAGCAGATCTTCCTTTGATGCCTTTTTGGGACAGTTTCCGTTTAAAATCAATGCTTCTCTTGGGGAATAGCAGCTGATGTCCGACTCAGGATTTGTTACTGAAGCGCATAATAGAAAGCTCAGACTGCTTCTCTGAGCACAGCGGTAGAAACAGCACCTTCAGGAATCCTCCTCATTTCACCTTTCCTCAAAAAGACAACTAGCTCCCTGCTTTTGACCATAATGTCAATTTGGAGACAAGTTGACCAGAAGGGATGGTGCAGCTACAGCTCAGCTCCCACCATTTTTGGTGTGTCCCAAGGGAGGTCCCAGCCCAAAGAAATGTACTGTCCTCCTCAGTCCTCCAATGTGATGCAGCAGCTCCTTGTTGTCTGTCTGACTGTGGTACAGTGCAGGACTCATTAACCTCTGAGTGCTTTTGGCACCATGGAAATGACTGTGGGGGAAATGACTTGCAGCCCAAACCACACAAACAACACAAGGGGTAAAGAAACTGCAGTGGAGGTTCCTTCTAATTCGTACAGCAGACCTCACAAAAGTCTCCCAACCCAACTGTCTGCTTCTAAAGGCAGAATTTCACGGCTGTGCTTGAGCAGTTAGAGAGCTCACAGATCACAGAATCACAGAATCACAGAATCACCCGGGTTGGAAGGGACCCCAAGGATCATGTAGTTCCAACCCCCCTGCCTAGCAGGGCCACCAAACATACACATTCAGATCAGGTTGCCCAGGACCCCGTCCAACCTGGCCTTAAACGCGTCCAAGGACGGGGCATCCACAACCTCCCTGGGCAGCCCGTTCCAGGGCCTAACCACTCTCCTAGTAAAGAACTTCCCCCTAACATCCAACCTAAATCTTCCCTCCTTCAACTTGGATCCATTTCCCCTCGTCCTGCTATTGTCAGCCCTTTTGAAGAGTTTACTCCCCTCCTGGGTGTAGGTTCCCTTCAGGTATTGATAGGCTGCCATGAGGTCACCCCGCAGCCTTCTCTTCTCCAGGCTGAACAAGCCCAACTCCCTCAGCCTGTCCTCATAGGGGAGCTGCTCCAGCCCCCTGATCATCTTAGTCGCCCTCCTCTGGACCCTTTCCAAAATCTCTATGTCTTTCTTGTACTGAGGGCTCCACACCTGGACACAGGACTCCAGATGGGGCCTCACAAGAGCCGAGTAGAGAGGGACAATCACCTCCCTGTCCCTGCTGGCCACCCCTCTCCTGATGGAGCCCAGGATCCCATTTGCCTTTCGAGCTGCCAGAGCGCACTGCTGGCTCATGTTCAGTCTCTCGTCCATCAGGACCCCCAGGTCCTTCTCTGCCAAGCTGCTCTCAAGGACCGCTCCTCCCAGCCTGTCGAGGTGCCTGGGGTTCTTCCGGCCCAAATGCAAAACCTTGCACTTTGCCGTGTTGAACCTCATCAGGTTCACCCGAGCCCAGCCCTCCAGCCTGTCGAGGTCCCTCTGAATGGCATCCCTTCCTTCCACCGTATCAACCGCACCACTCAGCTTGGTGTCGTCAGCAAACTTGCTGAGGGTGCACTCGATTCCCTCATCGATGTCATTAATAAAGATGTTAAAGAGCACCGGTCCCAAGACAGACCCTTGGGGGACACCACTTGTTACCGGCCTCCACCTGGACATAGAGCCATTGACCACCACCCTCTGTCTGCGGCCTTTCAACCAATTGCTTATCCATCGGGTCGTCCACCCATCAAATCCACTTCCCTCCAATTTGGAGATGAGGATGTGGTGGGGGACCATGTGACACGGTTTGTATTCGTCAGACCCTAAGTGTTCACTTGCTCCTCTGATGACTCCTGACCACTTCCATCCAAACGGCCCAGCTGCACGTTGCTCTTAGACCTGCAACACTACAAACTGTGGCAGCTGGAAGGAGCAGCCCACCCCTGCCTTCCTCGCTTCTCATCTTCCTGCAGGACCCAACTTGCAGAGCAGATCTCCGCTGCAAGATGGGAAAACTGCTGTGGAAATATTTCAAACAATGCAGGAGAAGCACAAGACTGCCAGGAGCAATGGGATCCCAGGAGATTTCTTTGCTGGGGGTGGGCAAGGAGATAAAAGTGTGCACCAGATTGCAGTGAGGGCAGTGCTGGAGCGTGGTCACCTCGACTGGAAGCATTTGTGGTTCAGATAAACCTCACAGTTGTGTGCAAGAGTTTTATTTATCCTAGCTTTGCTCTTGTAGCAAAGGAGTCCCATAAACATGACATGAAGTTCTACTTTCAGTCCTGACTTAATATTTCCTTACTACCTTGTTCTTACCACTGCCTGCTCACAGAACAAATCAGTATCACCACTGTGCTACAAGCTGCCATCCCTTGGGCGTCCAGCCTGTACAAATTTGGAAGGAAAAACTGAAAAGAAGTAAAGCAGGAAATAATTCCAAATTTTAGAAAGGCTTGAGGTTGGCCCTTGCTGCTCAGTGGGTATTTTAACTCAGTGCAAAATGCAGAGCTGTTCGGCCTTTCAGGCTCTTGTAAGGATCCTCAGCAACATGCAGAGGAGTAAATGCTATTTTCACTTTCAGCAGCTGTTCCGTGCACAATGTGCCCCTTCCTGCTGTGTGTAAATGTGGGTAGGAATCACCCTGTCTGTGGGAAAGGTTTCCAAACCACTGAGACATGAAGCTGTGTCTCCTCTGCCTTCTTTGGCAGTTATTTCATTTTCTGCAGTCAGCAAGACATCCTGCAGTAGCTCTGTGACTTTGTTTAATTATTTTATTTGCCCATAATTAAAAGAAAGAATCTGAGCTGGAGCTGAAGGGTAGAGATGGTGGTGGGAAGGGCGGCATCAGTGCCACGTGGGGCACTGAGGAAAAGAGTTGGTGCACTGCAAAGGAAAGGGAAAAGCCTTCATTCCCATCACTGCCTCAGCAAATGACCCTGCTGGCACCTCGTGTCAGAGCTTTAACTGAGAGCCCATTGAGATCCTACAGCATGCTCGGTATTTCTGAGAGCGTTTATCTATTTGCTGGTGTTTCAGGTCGTGCCCAGGAGCCCCACTGGGGGCCTGTGGTCAAGGACGAGAGAACAGAGGGGAAATGTCAACTTGCCACAGGGTTTGCAGTGCCCTCCAAACCCAAAGACGAGCCTTCGGTGTGAGTGAACAACAAGCTTTTATTCAAAAGGCATTTTGTGGCAATGCTGACCAAATACATCGTGCCACATTAATGGTGTAGAAGCAAAGAAACATCACAAAGCAAACCTCCTGCACGCCTTGGCTCCCAGGGAGGCCGATGAGGACGAACTCCTTCACACCGCTCGCATTCCCCACGTTGGTCGGTTGGGCAGCCATGCACAGCACGCACCATTTTTTGTGGCAGTGACCAAATACATCATGGTGAAAGATCCTTCGTGAAAACTGCCCACGGTTCTACACCTTTCCCTCTTCACTTCCTACTCTTCCACCCCACAGTTTTCTCACGGCACTCTTGACCTCTTTATTCCTCAGAGCGTAGATGAGGGGGTTCAGCATGGGGGCGACGATGGTGTAAAACAGCGCCACGATCTTGTCCTCCGAGAGGTCACTGGATGGACGCACGTAGGTGAAGGTGCACGGCCCGAAGAACAGAACCACTACGGCGATGTGGGACCCACAGGTGGAGAGGGCCTTGCGCCGTCCTTCCCATGTGTGGCTTCTCAAGGAGACCAAGATCACCGCGTAAGACACAACCAGGACGGAGAAAGAGCTCAGAGCTATCATCCCGCTGTTGGCGGTGACGCTGAGGCCGACGGTGTAGGTGTCGGCACAGGCCAGCTGTAGCAGGGGGTGGACATCGCAGAAGTAGTGGTCAACTTTGTTGGGGCCACAGAAGGGGAGCCGAGCGACCAGCAGAGTCTGCAGCACGGAATGCAGGCAGCCTCCCAGCCACGAGCCCAGCACCATGCGGCCGCACGTGCGCCGGCTCATCAGCGCGCTGTAGTGGAGAGGTCTGCAGATGGCCGTGTAGCGATCGTAGGCCATCGCTGTGAGGATGAAGATCTCCGTGCAGCCAAAGAAATGGACCCCGAAGAGCTGTGCTATGCAGCCCACAAAGGAGATGGATTTGTTTTCCGCAAGGAAGTCGGCAATCATTTTGGGAGACGTGACGGAGGAGTAACAGATGTCTACAAAGGACAGGTAGCCAAGGAAGAAGTACATGGGGGAGTTCAGACGCTGGCTGCTGATCACAGTGACAATAATGAGCAGATTTCCCGCCACATTAATGGTGTAGAAGCAAAGAAACATCACAAAGCAAACCTCCTGCACGCCTTGGCTCCCAGAGAGGCCGATGAGGACGAACTCCTTCACGCCGCTTGCATTCCCCACGTTGGTCGGTTGGGCAGCCATGCACAGCACGCAGCCTGTGCACAAGGAAAAGCAAGGACAGGTGATCCGTCATCATTGTCATCACCACCACAAATTCTGTACCAGAGACTAGAATCATAGAATCATAGAATCACCAAGGTTGGAACAGACCTCAAAGCTCATCCAGTCCAACCGTTCACCTCTTACCAACAGCTCCCACTAAACCACGTCCCTCAACACAACATCCAGCCTTTCCTTCAACACCCCCAGGCTCGGTGACTCCACCACCTCCCTGGGCACCCATTGCAGTGCCTGACCACCCTTTCCAAAAAGTAATACTTCCTGATGTCCAGCCTGAATCTCCCCTGCCGTAGCTTGAAGCCGTTCCCTCTGCTCCTATCCCTGATGACACGAGAGCAGAGGCCGACCCCCAGCTCACTGCAGCCTCCCTTCAGGCAGCCATAGAGAGCAGTGAGCTCTGCCCTGAGCTCCTCTTCTCCAGGCTGAACATTCCCAGCTCCTTCAGCCTCTCCTCATCAGCCCTGAGTTCCAGGAAGCACGCAGGATTACTATGAACCCTACAGAATGATTGACTTTCCCTATTTTTTTCCCCTGGGTATTTCATTCTCCTCGAGTGAAACTTTGGCTGTGGCTGCCACCGTGCTGCTTCGTCCTGGTGCTTTGGGGTTGCGAAGGACCGAGCCTACTTTGTACTACAGGAAGGACAGTGTGAGGCACAACAGGGGTGCAGGGCAGGATGCTTTCCCCCATTATAGCCCAAGGTTATGATTACAACCCTTGTAAGGAGAATGCCTTCGTGAGGACTGGAAATATCACTTGGAACACTGATTTATTCTGTAAGAATAAATAGTCTTTGAATTGTTGTTTAGAAGGGAAATGAAACTATGCAGGGGGAAAAAAATCTCTCTTACACAAATTTTGGGGGAGAAAAAATTGCAATGTCATGGGCTGAAAAAATGAGTTCTGGGGGAGTTATCTGTCATGGAGGAAACGACAAAAAATTATTTAGTCACCACTTCAGCATTTATCTTACTCTAAATCTCAGTACTGATCTTGCTTCTCATAAGGAAGGAGGGACAGAAGGATCTTTTCAAGCCGTCTGACCAGCGCTGCGTGCATTTCACCTGTTGCTGAGCTCCGGGGGCATTATCACAGGTTCGTGTCTGCTTAATGCAGGCATCCAGGAGGAGTCAGGACAGATCCCTCTGTAGAGGCAGAGTGGCTGAGCTGGACTCCTTTACCGAACCACTTCTTTTTGCACTGACCAGGAGGGGGTAAAGCCAGCTTCAGAGAAACAACCATTTCCATGCCCTGGAAGTCACCCACTGGAAATCACTGATGCCACTCTATTCTTTGTGTTGTGGTTGTATTCCATGTTTGCAGGCACCTGTGAATCTCTGCAGGTTCTCTTTCCAGAAGGTGGGGCTCCTTTGCTTCTGTTGGTTCCAATCGTTGCCCCCCAGCAGTAAAGAAGTAAACTTCATCTTAAAAAAGGCATTAATATTTCCAGCTCCATCAGAGTTCCTTCAGCCCTAGAAACCAGTAGATGCAAACTCTTCATGGAATTTAACCCAGAAATAGACATCTTAGAAGTAAATTATTGCCTGAATCGGATGCATTTTAGTTTGCTGACATTCCTAAGTCAGCTGGTGTTCAAAATGAGCATCAAACCACAGTCGGCTCCCCCTGAGTGTGCAGTTGAGCCCTGAGCATGGAACGATGCAGTGAACTCAACCTCTGCAGCACCGCTGACATTACAGAACCAGAAATGACAAATTCAGTACAGGACTCCCAAAAGTTATGTCCTACCCCTTCAAGAATCTTTTCCAGGACGTCACTGGCGGATGATGTAATTCAACCACCTGCAAAACGAAATAAACACAACATGGAACTGCTGACGTTTCAGAGAGGATTAAAAATGCTTACCTTCCCCTTATTGCATGCATTCTTCCCTAAAACTTTATGGGATTCGTGGCCAACAAAAGGGCAAAACCCAAATGGTCTGAGCAGGGTTGCAGGACCAGCCCTGCACATGCATGGCTCTGGTGAAAGATGGCAGAGAGTTAATAATGGTTGTGAAAGTTGCTTTTTTTATTTTCACATCTGTTTGAGGGAAAGGGAAAAAGGGGAAAGAAGAGAAGGGAGAAGGGGAAAGGGGAAAGAAGGGGAAGGGGAAGGGGAAGGGGAAGGGGAAGGGGAAGGGGAA